TCCAACTAAAGAAGGTACATGAAGTATACAGAACACCAAATAGACAATACCAGAGAAGAAATTCCCTACAACACATAATAATCAAAACACTAAAAGTACAGAACAAAGAAAGAATATTAAAAGCTGTAAGAGAAAAAGACCGAGTAATATATAAAGGCAAACTATTAAAATAACACCTGCTTTTTTGATGGAGATTCTCAAAGCCGTAAGAGCCTGGAGAGATACTCCACAAGCAATAAGGGACCAAAGATGTCAGTACAGACAATTGTACCAGCAAAGCTATTGATCATAACAGACAGAGAAAGAAAAACATTCTGGGATAAAATCAAATTTAGGCAATTTCTGTCTAGAAATCCAGATCTAGATAAGGCACTAAAAGGAAACTTCAACCTGAAGAGGATAAATGTACCCCCAGAAAGGAATAAATAACCCCAGAACAGTAAATCATAAGGGGGGTTCACACCACAACAATGGAATAGTGGGAATTAATAAACACTACTCATTGATAACACTCAATATTAGTTCAAACAGACAGAAACAAGGCGTTGTTTCAATTTTCTTAATAAATGGGGCCTCATGAAACTACAAAGCTTCTGTAAGCAAAGGACACATCATTCAGACAAAGCCGCTGGATACAGAACAGGAGAAGCTCTTTATCAATTATATATTTGGTAGCAGGTTAATATCTGAATTATATACAGAACTCAAAAAAGTGGACATCAGAAAAACAAATAACCAAATTAAAACATGGAGTAGAGTACTGAACAGAGAATTCTCCATAGATGAACACAATTAAAAGAAATGTTCAACCTCTTTAGTTATCAGAGAAATGAAAATCAAAACTACTTTGAGATTCATCTTACACCGGTCAGAATGGCCAATATTAATAAAACAAATGACATGCCGAGTGGTGGTGTCCACGTCTTTACTCCCAGCATGTGGAGGCAGCGACATGCGGATCTCTATGAGTTCAAGGGCCGGCCTGGTCTACAGAGTGAGCTCCAGGACAGCCTGGTCTACAGAGTGAGCTCCAGGACAGCCTGGTCTACAGAGTGAGTTCCAGGACAGCCAGGGCTGTTATACAGAGAAACCCTGTCTCAAAAAGCAAAACAAAACAAAAAAGCCCAATAAAACAAAACAAAGCAAATGGCAGCTCATACTGGTGAGAATGTGGGGGGAAGGGAACACTTATCCACTGCTGGAGAGGGTGCAAATGTGTATAGCCTCTATGGAAACCAGTGTGGTGTTTCCTCAGGAAGTTGTGAATAAATAGATCTACCTCAAGATTCAGCAATATTACTCTTGGGCATATATCCAAAAACTCTATATCCTGCTGCAGAGATATTTGCTCATTCATGTTCATTGCTGCTCTATTCATAATAGCCAGAAATTGGAAGGCACCTAGGTGTCTGTCAAAGGATAAGCAGAAAAAGAAAATGTGATGCATTTACACAACAGAATATTATTTAGCTATTAAGAAGAAAAAATAATAAAATGTGCTGATAAGTGGATGGAGCTAGGAAAAAAATCATTCTGAGTGATCTAATTCAGATATGGTATGTATTCTCTTTATATGTGAATATTAGCTTTTAGGCCTTTGAATGGCATGCTACAATGCATATAACCACAGAGGCTAGGTATAGAATAAGGGACTAAGGGCAGGGATCTCCCAAGGAAGGGAAAATATATAGTTATGGAGTGACATGGGCAAACTAGAATGACAGGATTAAAAGGGGAGGGAGAGGGATTAAGAGAGTAATGCAGGAAGGACAGGGAGGGACGACTAACCCTGAGGGCCTTCTGAGCAGTCACATGGAAACCTACTTCAGGAGAAACTTCCTAAAATATATATGTACTCGAAAGAAATAAAAATGAAGTCAGCAAATAATGGGGAGAGAATACCCCGACTATACACATTTTACCACCCACTGGAACTTCCAGTGGAAGGAATTAATTATGGCTGGCAGAGGCAGGCAGGTGGATCTCTGTGAGTTCGAGGCCAGCCTGGTCTACAGAGCAAGTTCCAGGACAGCCTCCAAAACAATACAGAGAAACCCTGTCTCGAAAAACAAAAAGAAAAAAGAAAAAAAGGAGAGAAAGAAAGAAAGAAGAAAAGAAGAAAAAGGAAGGAAGGAAGGAAGGAAGGAAGGAAGGAAGGAAGGAAGGAAGGAAGGAAGAATCAGTGTCTTGCAGACACAGCAGGACTGGTGCACACATGAACTCTCAGAGACTGTGATAGCGTGCACAAGTCTACACAGACTCAAGCCAGTCAGTTTCCCAGCACTGAGAGGGGAAAGTGGACACATGCTCCCACCGGTAACCAAAAAGTTATTTGGAACTGATACCTACAGGCAAAGGAAAAATATGTTTTACTTGTTCTCCAGTGGAGTCTCAGTAGGTATATAAACTACACTTAAGGTAAGCCCCATGCATAGTAATAGGTGGTCAATACAAAACAAACTCAATGTTATTTTTGTAGGTGTGTGTGTGTGTGTGTGTGTGTGTGTGTGTGATATTGCTTTGTTTGGCCTTTTAAAAACAATCTTCCTGGTCCTTTGCTTGTACATCATTGTTTCCAATTTTATGTTGCTATGGTCTGTGTGTTTCGTGTGGCTTTTTTGTTGTTGTTATTGTTGTTGCTGTTAATTCTGGGTTTTTTTGTTTGTTTGTTTTGCTTTGATTTTGCCTGTTTGTTTCCCAGGGAAAGAGGTTTGGAATTGTGTGGTTGAAAGATGGGGAATCTGGGAAGAGATAGGGGAGGAGAAACTGTGATCAGAATATATTGTATGAATTTTCAATAAAAATAAATAAATAAAATAAATGCATTTAAATTAATTGTAAAGAAAAAAGACAAGCAATGAAAACTAAAACCCAAAGAAGGTGAGGAAGGCAGAGGCAGGCAGATCTCTGAGTTCGAGGCCAGCCTGGTTTACAGAGCGATTTCCAGGACAGTCAGAGCTATGCAGAGAAACTCTGTCTTCAAAAATGAAAAAGAGGAGGGGGGAAGGAGGAGGGGAAAGAGGAGGAGGAGGACTAGGACTAGGAGGAGGAGGAGGGGAGGGAGGAGGAGGAAAAGCAACCTCCCCAGTGTCCCTCAGGTCCCACTCACTTGACCTGCCAGGGCAGCAGTAGCTAGAGTCAGAGTTGTTAGGCATAAGGAAATGACGCCTGGGTATAGAGGTGGGACGTGGGGTGGGTATCCATGGACAGACCTGAGCTTGCGCTCTGGGCCAGCCTCACCTGAACTAGCTTAGTGACTCTTGGACAGCTTCATTCTCCCTCTCACAGGAGATGGGCTTCAAGGTGTCTGAAGTCTCATGTGTTTGAGTCACCAATTTGTCTTACTTTCCACACCTTTCTAGGATGTCCATTTTTCTCTCCTCCCATAATTCCTCTGTTTGGGGTTCCTGAACCTGTTGTCTCTCTTAGCAAGTCTTCTCAATGGACCAATTACTGGAAGCGGGGAGCTTCTAATTCCTGTAAGCTTAGGCAGTGAAATCCTTATTACACCTAATAAGAGTTAACTGGTCCATTTCACACAAATTGTCTTCCTGTGTGGGACTGAAATATAAAGCACTAAAATCGAGAGGTGTGGGCTGGAGGACAGTTGTTCACAGCCAATGCTGGCACTCATGGGGACTGTGTCTTAGCCAATGCCATCCTCTAGAAGCCAGAGCAGTGTCAACATTTCACACCATCTTTCCCTAAATAGTTCAGCCATCCACAGTGGGTGGTCCCACGTAATGTTTTTGTTTTATTGTCATTGTGATCAAACACCTGATAGAAATAACTTAAGGGGAAAGGCTTGCTTTTGCTAGTGACTTCAAATGCTTCAATCAATGATGCTGAGTAAGGCAGATATCTCCCAGGAACCACAGCTCACACCATGGTAGGTAGGGAACACGGTAGATCCTTAGCAGGAATGGGCCAGTCTTATGCCACAAGAACACACCTCCAGTGACCTTTTTTCTTGAACCAGGCTCTCCACTTTCCAAAGTTCTCCTCCCTACCAAACCAAGGTCAGAATTCATGATCTATTGTATCTGGAAAGGTCTACTTCCCTGGCGTCCTAGGCATTTCACATTCAAATCAAGTTGACATAGGGCCTAGCCTTTTCTCTTCTCTAACAGCCATGCAGTTTCCTCACTTAGGCCCTGACACCCAACCTCCATCCATGGTCTCTGACTTCTTCAGGAGGCTCAGTGAAGACGGCTAACTGCTGTTGTTGCCTAGGATGCCTAACTTCAGCTGAGCTTCCTCTTGACAGCTCTGTGTCTTAATCAACCAGAAACATGGGCATCTATAGAATGTCTTCTTTGCTTTGCACACACACATAGAGGGCAGTTTCAGCTGCCAGGACCCTAATCCTTGGCATGATGTCAAGCACAGTTGGCAAATACGAGATGAGGACACAGCAGTTTGCACACCAGAATTTCTACTCCCACTCCTTTTGCAGGGCCGGGTACTCTTTACAGTCCAGGTCTATCTGGACATAGGGCCCCTTGGCCACTAGGATGCTTCAATGGACGCTTTTCCTCTGCTCATGTTTCCCTCACGAGACTGGAGTCTCCCCTTGCTCCTGCCCCACTACTGTATGAACAAGAGTTGGTCCCTTAAGGAAAACGAGAAGATGAGCGAATGGACTGTTCCAGCAGCTGGAAACTCATGGCCTAGTGTCTGGAAGTGTCTGTTGCAGTTAAATGATATATAAGACACAGCAGACAGCTGCTTCTGCCTGGAGGCGTGTGAGAAAGGCTATGCCTCCCAAACTCTGGGCTGCTGGCTTAAGTCATAGCTCGGCAGGTGAGGAGAAAAGTCAAGGTGGCCTCTGAGGCTCCCTCAGCCAGAGGGACTCTGGTGGAGGTTTCTGATAGAGCAGTGCTTTTCAACTTGGGGGTTGCTACCCCTTGGGGGTCCAACGGCCCTTTCACAAGGGTCACACATCAGATATCCTACAGTTCAGATATTTACATTATGATTCACTACAGTGGCAAAATTAGTTATGAAGCAGTGAAAAAAATAATTTATGATTGGGGGATTCACCACAACATTAGGACCTGTGTTAAAGGGTGGCAGCATTAGGAAGGTTGAGAAGTACGTGTTAGGGCCTTTCTTTCCTATCTCTGTAGTAATCATTAGGGAGAGAATCTTAGCCTTTCTCTGTTTCAGAGTCCATCCACGTTTCCAACTTTCAACTACTTTGCTACTTCAGTGATTAAGAAGGGAGATCCAGCTTCCTCTTTACTCTCAGGAAGTCCTAACTAAGGAGACAGAGACAGTCCTTGCCTTCAAGGAGCTCAAAGTTTAAGAAGATGCCCTGTGCTAAGGAAATCGTTATGTCTAGTCTGTCGGGACATGGGGTTTCTCTTCACAGTGCCTGGATACTGGAAGGCTGACCTTCAGGATGCCTGCTGTGATAACAGGTATGTGATGAGAGGCCAGGAGACTCAGATAGCCCGCTGAGACAGAACTGTGAGCTTTGGTATTAGTGAGCAGAGCTAAGGAGCTTTAGTGGGGTTGGCCTGGACGGAGGAGGTGAAGCAGGATCGGTAATACTCAAGTATGATCGCAGAGAGACGAGAGCGCATGTCCTGGGGATGCGCAAGCGCACTGGAACGGTGTGGTATTCGGCTCCACAATGCTCACTCAAGTCACATGGGGTATGTTTGAAACTAGTGATGTTCGGGTGACACGCCAGAAAAACCCATCTGTCCAGGACTAGGCCTCAGTGCTGCTCTAGGAAAATCTATCAGGAGACCCTCGTCTGGCTGGTGTTGGGGACTGCTACGCAAATGGGCATCAGGCTTTAGGATCTGGGATGCTGAGTAGCTTGTAGGAGACTAGCCATGAGAGGAAGGAGCTTCTCTCAAGCTAATTGGTGGAGATTTATCTTTAAAGGGAGAGGGCAAGGTAAGCTAAGGCCAGGAAAGCGAGCTCGTTAGCTGCTGGGGACATCTTCCTAGCATTTTCTTTTATCTCTGCATGCACTCATTCAGAGTAAAAGGGGAAAGGCTGTTTCATTCCAGAATACCCTGACCTAAGGTATTCGGTCTGTTCCTGTCCACTTGCTATGTTCTGTCCTCAGATGCCTGCAGAGACGAATGCCCAGTGTTACCCCAGGAGGACAGCTTTCCTTCCTTGACCTACAAGAAAAATAAAAAAAACACTCCTTTCTCCCGTCTCTATTTTGTTTTGTCAACATAACCTAATATCTTACAATTTTTATGGACCCCTTCTCCCCGATGAAACGCTAACGGGAGGAGCTTGTATCGGTGTGCTTTTTCTGTGACAGGGTGTCATTATTTTGACTGGGTTCTCCTTGAACTTACAGTTCTTGTCTTTATTTGTTTTGTTTTAAGACAGAATTTCATTTACGCCCTGGCTATCCTGGAGAGTCCTATGTAGATCAGGCTGGCCTCCACTCACAGAGATAGATCCACCTCTACTTCTAAAGTACTGGGATTAATGATGTGAGCCACGATGTCTAGCCTATTCTCCACCTTTGTCTCCTGAGATAGGATTACAGACATGTACCACTATACCCAGATTTTATTTATTTATTTACTTACTTATGTAGTTGTATTCTGAAAGCCTAGTTTTGTGACTGGACCATATTAAACACAAAAGAAATATCTGTTGAATGACAAGTTAATGAATAAATAAATTAAAAACTCTAGCATATCCAAGTTCTGGCCTGTATTTGCATGGGTGTGTCTCTGTGGGATGGTATTCTTAATCTCTGGATTAGCTATCCCTGTTTTTAAATTGTGGTTTTTGCCTATGCATGCAAGTATTTTTTAACGTAACAAAATCTATAAGTCCTTGCATAATATGCTTTTGAATGTGAACTTTTTTAGTTTTGGTTTTGTTTTGTTTACTGTGTTCTGTGTCCTCTAGTTGTGTGTGGTTGTGTCTGGATCACTCTGCCTAACTGTCAAGGTTTTTGGAGGAACTGTGTCCATCTCCTGTCAGCAGAGGGCACTAGAGCTATGCGCCTTAGTTCCGGGCATCAAGCTCAAGCTATCTTGGTCAGGAGCTTTAAGGGACTCAGGTGATCTAGAATCTGAGAAGGAAGAGGTGGAGACCTCTCTCCAGTTCAGCGTAACTGGAAAGTTGTGCAATTCCTGTGACTTTCCTACTATTTTCCCCACATTCATTCTCTCGGGCCCAGGCTTCATTCAGTCTCAGCAGCCCAGGGAGCATGATTTAGTCAGGGATTGGGGGCGGAGAGGGTCACTACACGAGGTCCTTGGCTGGACCACTCACCCAAATGCCCTTCCACTTCGGGTCTCCATCTCTCCGCCTCGAGCCCCGGAGTGCTTAGAGATCGTTCGCTGGCTGCCTTCTGTGGCAAGCCTTCGGGGACGCAAAGCCATGGAGTTGGTTGGCTTTCCCTCCGGATGGATAGATGTCTGGGATGAACAAAGGAAGAGTTAACTGCGCCTCTTCGCGGCTGCTACCGACTCCAGCGTTGAGAGGCGGGCCTCAACGTGGCTGGCTGAAGCCCTCCGAAGGGGCTCAGAGGCAGACTCAAGATTTCTCCAGTCTGAGATTTGTGGGTTGGAAGAGCTTCTCCCCTTTCCAACATTCTCTAGTTAATTGAGAATTCTTATTTTAGGCATCTAGGGTTAGATTCTGGGGTGTGAGATTAGAACAGAAAAGACCTTAAAGCTTTTAGCCCCCCACCCCCTCCAAGACACAAGCACACCCCTCCCAACGCAGTCACCCAATTGATGGAGGTTCGTCCTCTGCCCAGCCTGCCACCCTATGTCCGGCTCAGTTACGCCACTGGGGGCAAAAGTAGGTCTCGGCACCGGAGGGGCGCGGATGGACCGGGGCCCGGCGGTCTTTGCTTCCGAGCCTGCGACGCCGCGTTCTCCCCACCCCTCCCCACCCCTTGCCTCTGCCCTCAATTCCTTTCTCTTTGCTCTCCTCCCATCTCGGCTCCAGCGAGCGGAGCCAGTGTGTGTGCGCGCGCGTTGGGGGACCAGGGGAGGGCAGTGGAGGGAGGCGCCGTCGGAGGGAGAGCAGACGTCAGGAAGAGGGAGGGAGCTGGGGAGGGAAGAGAGGGAGAGAGGGAGAGAGAGAGCGAGAGAGCGGCGAGGAGGTTGAGAGAGGCCCCGAGAGATAAAGCTGGAGGGCAGAAATTATTAGGGGGCGCGGGACGAGAGGAGGGGCCAGGGGAGCGAGCCCGCGGCGGGAGAGGCGAGCGAGTGTGCGCCGAGTGTGCAAGGGCGGGAGGGAGGAGAGAGAGCCCGCGGCGGCCGGGATCGCGCCGACTCGGGCCCAGCGGCGGGCGGACAGCATGCTGAGCTTCCTCATCTGGATCCTCACTCTCTCCGACACTTTCTCGCAAGGTAAGCCCCAGCCGCGGGCCGGGGAGTCCGGGGAAGGGGCGCGGAGTCACCCGGAGAACACCCGAGGAGTTCTTGATGAAACGGCCCAACTTGCTTCCTCCCGCTGCGCGGGAGAACGGAGAACTTAGGTCGCGAAAGCCGAGATCCGAGTAGAAATGGGACCCGAGTGCTCAAAGTCTTTCCTCCCAGTCCCCGGCAGTTCTCCCTCCCTCCACCTCCTGGGCCCAGGGCTGGACTCCTGGGTCCCGGCCAAGAGAAAGGCTGGGAAGAGGTGGGATTTCAGATCTGGGGGGTGGAGTGCGTGGAAAGCACGGGCGCAGGCTCCCAAAGATGAGGCTGAGGGGTCGATCCTGCTACCCCATCCAGCCTAGAGTCACCTTCATCTCAAGTCCGGCTGCAAACTGCTTGGGGTTGCCCCTCAAAGGAAGGCTGCATTCGCGCCCCCCCCCGCTGTGGGTGAGAGGTAGAAGTCCGGACATCAGGGCTGTTTGGATTCATCAGGGGAAGGGGAGTTGATTCGGCCAGGCACTCTCTACAGGTCAGGAAAGTGCAGCTATCTGGGGCTCCTTTGGAACTGGCAGGGCAGAGGTTAGAAGAAAACCGGGGGAGAGAGAGGAGGGTGTCCAGGTATACTGGTCTGGGTGCCCGTGAAGGAAGCAAGGGTCTACACCCCAGCCAGGCCCGGGGTCTGCGGGAAATGGGTCTTGTCTCCTGAGACTGACTCCAAGGAGGATTTAATGCTGTTGGGCCCCTCCCTGACCTGGAACACAGAAACTGACACACCAATAGCTTCAAACTGAGCCACTGAGACAGACTGCTCACCTAGGGAGACATCCCCACAAACATCTCCCACACAGAGACAGACACATACACAAAGACATTGACTGACATCTCTGAAGAAGGAAGATTCCTCTTCCAAGCCAACACACGCTTACCTAGTCCTACACCAGGCATCAAACTTACACTGTACACGCATGTGTGCTCCATTGAAAGGACATAACACCCACCACACAGCATTGCTTCCACATACCCCAGCCATGGAGCAAACAAAGAAACTTGGGCAGACATTCTTATAGGCAGGCGCCCACAGAGAGGTACAGTCTTCAAAATGGAGGAGGTGGTCTCTCGCTGGGGTGGGTGAGTGGTCTGGGAAGAGGGAAGCCGCCGAGTGGGAAGAGCCTCGGGCATTGGTCGGCTCTCTTCCTCTCCTGAACACTGTGTGTGTGTGTGTGTGTGTGTGTGTGTGTGTGTGTGTGTGTGTGTGTGTGTAGGGGTGGAGTGTTTCGCTGGACCCCTCCTCTCTTTGCTAGGCCTCTCCTCCAGCTCCGAAGGCAAACCTGGCTTAGTTCAGGGGGGTCTTGATTCACCTTCCTTCACCGGAGCCCCAGGACCCTCTTAGGACGTGGGAAGGCACACATCCATGGTATGTGAGCAGGAGTGGAGCTGGAGGAAAAAGAAGGCCTGGCCTCGGGGTCGGCCACTTGGCAGAAAGTTGGGAAGATAAGTTAAGTTCTGACTTTGTTCAGCCAGGTTGCAGGAGAGGGGGAGGGGGAGAGCATGGTGGGTGAGGGGCAGCGGAGTCAGTTCTGACGTGTTGGGAGCAGGCTTCTCTGCCTGCCCCTCTTGCAGCCCTCATATGTCAGTGAAACAGAATGAGCTTTAAGAAACAGAAGCTGCAGTTAGGAAACAGGAGAAAGATGCAGCTTGAACCTGAACTGATAGAAGATCTGGAAAAAAAAATGCTTGCCGTGTTCCTCTCCATCTTTGCGGGTGGGTGTGGCTAGGGAATGCCACTGAACCCCAGCCTTCTTGACTCTGTCAGAGGTGAAGAACTGCAGGAGGGGTGCAGATGAATTTTGGGGTCACAGGGAGGAAAGCAAAGGGAGAGAGGAAGCAAGAGGGAGAAGAGATCACTAGTGAGTCTTCAGGGGACACAGGACTGGGGAGGAGACCCTGAGGGAGAAAGGGGGGGCTGACAAGAGAGGGCACGCAGCGCGGTTAGCAGGGAGTTGGAGGCAGACAGAAGACAGTGAAAAGTGGCCAGAGGAGCAAGAAAATTGAGAGCAGAGAAGAGCTAGGAGGGGGAGACTCAGCCTAGCTGAGAAATAAAAATCGTATTTTACAGGATTTCAACGGGCTTCATCTATTTTCATTTTTTACTAAATAATTTTCCGTATCTTATCTAAATGAAAACCATTATCTTCCCCCTCCCCCGCTACTGTGTCCATCATGCCCCAGCTCCCCAGACTGATTACGCTGAAAATTGAAATATTTATTCATTTTCTAAGAGATTCTTCTCCCTCCCTAGTCTCGGGGAGGAGAAATTGAAAAGGAAGGATTGTAGTTAATCAGAGCAATGTGGGATGACAGGGTGATTCCAGTGGGAGCTGCCTCCAGAGGCTGGTGGCTCTGACTGGAGGAGGAAAATCTGTTCCTCTGGTACCCCCCCCCCAAGCTGCTCTGTCTGTTCCGCCTTTGCTCCAAGGAGACTAAGGGGTAAAACAAAGAGACCCAAGGGCCTCCTATGTTCCCAGCATTTAGCTCCCGGTGCACAGCTATATCCTGGCAGAGGATGGTGAGCCTGGCTTCTACAGCTCTGTTCTGCACACATATGCATGCCACACACTCCAAATGGCCTACTTCTGCCCAAAGCTGGGGTAAGGTAGGGAAGCTGGCAGAAATCGAGCAGTTAGGGCCGCCCCTGACTTTGACCGAGCTCTATCTCCAGCCTTCTACTCAAACTCAGAGGGAGACGTGAAGCCAGCACTGGGTGCCAGGGGGAAGCATCTGCGACACCCAGGCAGGGCAGGAGGGGTGGGGGTGGCATCCATTGCTTCCTCCCTTTTCTCCTTATTGCCACTGGGTGGCTGGCTGGTCCCAGTTTGCTTTTCCAGTGGGGTAGGATGATGAAGTCCCCTGCTTGCCCGTGCTTGCAGAGAACCGCACTCTGAGGAAGCCTCCTTTTGAGACCTCTGGAGACCAGGTCTTCACTTCTCTCTCACTACAACACGGCCTGGTGCTGTGCATATAGTCAGTGCCCCCTTAGTACCTGATTGATGAGGGAGCCGCAGTGCAGGAGGGAGGTCGCAGTAGACAGTGATGATGTCACGGTCTCAGCCTGGTATGCCTGGAATCCTGGTGTTCAAGAGGCTGAAGCCGGAGGACGGCGAGTTCAAGGCCAGCTTGGACTACACATACCAAGTTTCAGGCCAGTCAAGGCTGAATTGTAAGCCCCCTATAAATAAATAAATAAATAAATAAATAAATAAATAAATAAATCCAGAGACCTCCATTCAGCTCTCCCGAGTTGGTGGTCTAAAGAGGTTGTGTGCTCACTCATTAGGTGCTCCAGTTTAGTTGTATGCAAAGTGGTGATGATATATATTGTATATGTGTATATATATATATATATATGTTTGTTTTGGGTTTTTTTTTTTTGGTTTTTACGAGACAGGGTTTCTCTGTATTGTTTTGGAGGCTGTCGGTCCAGCCTGGCCTCGAACTCACAGAGATCCGCCTGCCTCTGCCTCCTGAGTGCTGGGATTAAAGGCGTGCACCACCACCGCCCAGCCATATATGTATATATGTTAATTCATAGATTATCAACATATATTAATCTGGGGAAAGTGCACGGAACGGTGTCTGGCCCAGAAGTGTACCGTGACTGTGTTATGACTGTGTCTGAATGTAAGTGGACATATGTTGAGTTGACTGCCCCTTCTATTTTCCTGATTGTGGTTCTCTTTGTTTTCTGGTTCAAATCCCCCTGGTTCTTGGTCCAGTGCTTTGCCCCAATCATAGAGATTGCCTGGCTCAGTCGACCTAAAAGGCACAATTCAGCTCCTCCCAGCTGGTGCTCTCAGAAAAGGTCTCAGAAGGGCCACGAGGGGAGGGCAGAGTGGAGAAGCCTGAGCCTGTGGGTGAAATGAGAAGTGGCATGCTGAAGTCATGCTAATGACTTTTTGTTTTATTTTATTTGCATTGGTGTTTTGCCTGCATGTATGTCTGTGAGGCTGTAAGATCTTGGAGTTACAGACAGTTGTGAGCTGCCATGTGGGTGCTGGGAACTGAACCCTGGTCCTCTGAAAGAGCAGTGGTGCACTTAACCACTGGGCCATCTCTCCAGCCCTGTTAATGACTTTAAATGCATGTTAACTTCGACAATCCCCTGAGTTAGGCTGGGTAATTAATTCCTTTTTCCTGGATGGAAAACTGAGGTTCAGATATGTAAGGCAGGCCATTACAGGAACCAGCTGATTTCAAGACCTACACCATTTTCCTCTGCCAGAGACCCCTCAGCTATCAGGGACTGGAACTGGCCTGGGGTAGGGTTGTGTTGTTCTGGTCCATGGTAGAATAAGTGTGGAGAAGGGGATTCATGCTAGTAGCTTTTAAACTTTTAAAAACAGTGTGCCCTATATTTTTGGGTTACTCTTTCTTTATGATATGGCAATCTCCTGGTTATTTGTTAAAAGGACTTTACTTGCCAAATATGATTTATACTCTTGTATTTGTTCCATATATGAAACCTAGCCTTTCTAACCCATGGATTTATACTTGAGGACCCCACCCCACCCCAAGTGACTCTGTAGAGTCCTAGAGGCATGCAAGGACTCACACACTCAGTGGACGTCTGGGGACAACCTGTACTCTCCCGCTTTTAGCCTCCACACCAGGCACAGTAGGGCTATAAGCACAGTAGGGCTCGAGGCACATTAGAGCTGTAGGCACAGTAGGGCTGCAGGCACATCAGAGTTGTAGGCATAGTAGGACTACAGGCACAGGGTGGCTGTAGGCACGGTAGGATTATAGGCACAGTAGGACTGCAGGAACAGTAGGATTGATTGTAGGCACAGTAGGACTGACTGTAGGCACAGTGGGGCTGTAGGCACAGTAGGACTGACTGTAGGCACAGTGGGGCTGTAGGCACGGTAGGATTGATTGACTGTAGGCACATCAGGGTTGTAGGCACAGTAGAAGGTGAAAACTTGGGTGTCTCA